TTAGTGCATGCGCCATGCTACGTCATTGCTCTATCACGTACGCACAGTCGCTTCGCTCAATATAAGGTTTGCTAGCTGTGGGACGAGTGGGAAACTTACTTTTGGACGCGCCTCGTATGTTCGAACATAAAATTATATTTTAATTATCTTAATTGTAAATTTTAAATATGAATTGTGATTAGACGGACAAAAACCGAATAACAATAGTTTATGTAAAGCTGAAAAAACTTTTATTTTCCAAAATTTGTAGATTTCTGTCGTAACGGGGTTTGAATAAGTTTCTGGAGTAATTTTAAGTTACGGGCTCCCATTTCAGTTTTACAGCTTCTTTGTGAATTACTATTTGGAAAAGATGTGAAGGCAGCAGAAATGGCATAGCTTAAGACAGTCCGAACATTTTATGAATATACTGAGGAAAATCACGGAACTGTCAGTGGTGTTTGTCTATTGAGCTTTGACGTGCGGTAGGATTCGCTTTATCCGACATGTGTACGTCTCTGTTGGGGGCTGTTTTGATGTCTCTGACACAGCTTGGTGACTGTTCGTAGAGAACAGAAATAAAATTGGCACATGTCTCTTGCAAACAGAACACGTCGAAAAGAATCCGAAGTAATGTGGATGCAGTTAGCCACGTCACAATTCTCACGCGTTTGTGAATCATAATTTAGAAATAGTTATTGTTGAGTCATACAAATGTGCAATTTATTTTGGAAATTTGCTGGCAGGTCAATGTTACCTCAGTTTAGGGACGTTGGGGGTGCAGATGGTTTGGAAAGCTTGAACACTTAAGTCTGTTGTGGGGAGCGAATGTGGCGCTCCAGGGCGTTCGATCTTTAAAAGAAACGTCGGAGGCTGGTTGGTCGTACTGTTGTCATGTGACAGTCGTGTGCGCGCGCATGACAGCCGTGTTGTTTGAATCCTACAGTAGCCTGATTTAAAAGTATCACAGATAGAACGTGTCTGCACAAGGTACGAAGGTTGGATGACGAAATTTCTCGGCCAAACTTCGCTGTTTATTGGTTGATATTCGTATTCGAAAGGTCCCGAGTTTGAATATCTTCTGGAATTTTTTATTTTCCTTATTCTATCGAGGCAAATTCTCATGTGATACTTCGTATGTGATAGCCCTTGGAGTGTTCCGATCAAGAAAGGAGGACTGTGACCCTGAGACATTGCCCATTGTATCCATTTTTTTTATCGAAATGTGTGCTTCGCTATCTTTATGTTTGTGATTAGATAAGACAAGTATGCGATTCTTCACGAACAGTACTTATTGTTTCAGGAGAAAATGGCTACCCCCTCCTCTTCGGAAGCTGAGCCAAGGGAAAGTGGAGAAGGGTACCGCCTCCACCGTCCCCGACCGACCGCCTCTCAAGAAGACAAGCTCCGATAAGCGGTTTAAGGTATGGATAAAACCAATTGTTTACTGCCGTCAGTCTCGAGCAGAGTGCTCTCTGTACGACGGCAAATTTACTTACCCCTGGATCTGAGCTTCGTGCCGTAAGGGAAAGTTTTAGTCACAGTGGCTGGTAGGTCCGTCGTAAACATATTTTATTTCGACTGTAGAATGCACCACGGGATGTGACTGCTGCTATTATCAGGCATAATCACGGTGTAAAATTTTAAAATCGTGCCTGGACCTACATTAAATTGAATCCAAGTAATAACTTAGCCCTTTAATAGCGAAGCTCTAAAACTTCAGTTTTTACGGCTAAAAGAAACATAACGCCTCGCCTTTGTCAAAATAATTTCCTTGGTGCTGTTTAGGGAAATAATCGATATTTATTCTGAGAATCACGAGAAGCCAAATAAATGGACTCTGTAGGAAGAATGAAAAGTCACAGAATCTTAAAGCAGGTGGTACAAAGAAAGTTGCTACTATTTTAAAGTTTTTAAGGCAGAAAGTTATAACCCAGTAATCGCACGGTAATAGACGTTTTAATTACCCTGCTTCTGAATGCGATTGGTCCAGTGGGCCCTTAAACTGTCCGAGGCAGAATCCGTAACCATGTGTATTACGTACTTTAAACTTTATTTAAAAACGTGGACTGCTCATCGTTTGTTTTCCGGAACAAACATCGTTTGCTTCTCTGAACGTCGTTAAACCATCTTATCTTTGCGACGGTGATGAGGCGTGTTTTGTGTGTCAGGTAAGACCTAGATTATCTTTCTTCAGAATCTTCCATGAGCACAGAAAGATGTTCCTTTTCGTATAGTGCAACGTCGCGTGTTTCTAATGTTTCATTCGTGTGCGTGGTAGTCTTATTGGTGTTTGTCATGGCTTGGCCTTCGTGATGTACTCTTTTATGCATTGCCCCCCGCGTCGCTGGTCAGTTGTGCCAAGAAGGTGATGAGAGAAGAACATCTCTCGTGTCCAAAGAGGCTTGGAACTTGTTCATTTAACTGAATGTTTATACGCGTCTGTCTGGCTCCGAGAATTCATACCATCCGTTCGTGTTTGCGTGATATGCTTGTTAGATTTGTTGCTTCAACAGGTCAGCTGCAAATTGAGTAAAACCAGATTATTCTCTGCAGTTCAGTTCTGAGTGTATCAACGGCGAAGTGAGGTAGAACTTGTAACGATCTACCGTTCCTTTACCATTTCAGTGTAATAATATTAGTCTTATGATACCGACACGGAAATGTTCGTTTCCGGGTACGACCGCCCGTGATAAGAGGTCATTTCTGCAAAATAAAGGATCGATACGATCTAGCAAAGCCACGAGCAACGTCGTCATACAAATGGCACCAAGCCTGGGACGCCGTTTGCATGCGTATGGCGTAGTGATTTTCACTATAGGAGAACAAGAGTTTATTAATCTTTGGCCGTTTGCTGATTGCGGTTCATGTCATCTTGATAAGCAGGCGAATTTAGAACGATGATGGTCTTTAATAGCCACGGTGGTCTAGCGGTTAGAACGCTGACCTTGTAATCCTGGGGTCTCGGGTTCGATTCCCGGCGGTGCCCGAATTTATAACTTGTGTTGGGCAATGCCGTGGTCTAGGCAACACGGAGTTTTCCTCCGTGGCATCCCAATAATTACTCCATTCACACACAGAAGAAGGCAATGGCAAACCACTTCTGGATCATCTGCCAAGAACGTATATGAACAGGTCCCAGTCCGAGAAAAGGATGGAAGGATCCTCTTCATATGGACCTGTCGTCAGACAGAACACTAAATAATTAAAAAAAGGTCTTTAACCGATCGTTGCGCGACCAAACAACAATTCCCCCCAGAGATCTCTACTATTCATGTAAACAGCTTTGAAAAATTGTTACGCCCTCGGAATCTCTGGACAACCGCACGCTTATCCCTTTTCCCCCCCTTTTTACTTTCCTTCTGTACTGCGTTTTCTTCATCTGTTCATTTATTAACATGTCCTTGAGTCCTTCAACTTTGAAGGACATTATCCTGCCCTTTCGATTTTACGTTGACATTAGTTTATGAATACTGTACTATATTCTGCCATAATAATAATTGATGCATCAGCAACTTCATGTCTGTACCTTCAGCCTGTATATTTATAATTTATTTATTTTTATTGTTTATTTTATGACGCATTTAAATATCTCAGATTATATAGCTCTGAATTATAGGATGATATGGGAGTAGTTGATTGGAAGGGTTGTGGATGGAATCGGTCGTGGCCCAATTTAAGGTACTCTTTGAAGAAATTGGTTTGTTACAGTGAAAGTTGACACAGTTTTTCTTTTCTGATTTGTCGTGAAATCTCGGTTTGATCCGAGAACACAGCAGAGCTCGTGTTCGTGCGTTGAAGTTTTGGTTTTGATCCAACGGTTCGTATCCCTCCCTCTTCGAAAGGGTAATACCCCCACCACACCCCCTCATGTTGACAACCACGGCCACTGCACCACAATAAACTGACTCCGAGCTGGTTTCGTAGAATTGTTAATTCGTAAATGTTCACTAATTCAAGCTTCCAAATTGGGCGTGAGAGGCCCTTACTGCATGAAATATGCACTAATTTCAGCTCGCAGTAATTTAAGGGCAAGTAACAAATGCACAGTAATTACTGATGCAATTAGCCGAACTCAGTAAGAGAACGCTGTCCATCTTGGCATCATTCTTCCTGGCAACTGAAGCCCGGATCCGTATTGTGTAGGATTTGAGGTTTTTCACAGCCGTGAGTGTGAAGATTTCTGTCTTCTGGGTTGTTGCGCCGTGTAGTCTGGTAGATTTCCATCAACGTTTCAGAGGTCATACTGCCTCCGTCATCAGGGCGTTGAGGCAGTATGACTTCTGAAACGTTGGTAAACATCGACCAGACTACACAGCGCA